GAGGAGTGGCTGCCGTTTTGGGAAGGATCGGCTGGCACTTCAGGGAGGGATCGTTTTGGGAAGGATCAGCAGCAGGGAGGGTGCCGGGTGACCCCCACGCCAAACCCGCCGGTGCCCCGCAGCCGGGTCCCGTGGGTGGCAGCTCAACAGGAGTGTCACGGATCACGAACCCACGGCTCGGGTACGTCCGTCCCCGGGAAGGTGCAGGGACCGTGTGTGAGCCAGGAAAGCAAACAAAGCCAAGGAGAAGGAGACCTGCGCTGGGCAGGTCGGGGCCGGGCGCCGGTCAGTGGGGGCTCAGCTCTCCCTGTCGTGACATTCCTGCTGAAGAAAGAGCGGCCTGGAGGCTTTGAGGGTTCAGCAGACCCACAGGTGTCTCACAAGTGGTTGTGTGCTGACGCTGGTATTTGATTTTTGGAGGTGACGGGGTGGGGGCCAGCGTTGCTGTGTAGCTGGGTTTGTTGGGAAATGTGGATGTGTGAGCAGAAAACAGCAGTTCCAGGAGTGTGTCCCATGGGAGACGGGCTGCCCTCGCCTCTGCATAGCGGATGAAGCCTGAGAGAGGTGAAGCCAAGAGGTGTGGTCCTGGCTTTCCAGCTTAAAGCTCTCTGGAGCAGACCTTGGCCACTGCCTGATGGGATGTGGCCACAACACATCCCTCTACAGCATATCCAAGCATCCTGCAGCCGTCCACAGCCCTGGGTATCTTGGCATGACAGCCAGAAAGGGAAACCTCCCAGGTGTCAGTGAGGAACAGGGTGTGGGGCTGGTGAACCCAGCCCTGGACTGAGGTGACTCGGAAGTATGTGACATGCCTTTGATTTTAGCTGTGTAATTACACGGGTGGGAAAACCCTTAGGAAGGCAAGTGCCTGGGGAAGGAGGAATGTTTGGCCACGGGTGCCCTGAAGAGAGCTGAGTGTCGGTGTTCGGCGCCGCGGCGGTGCCACGAGGAGATGCCAGGGGGCCAGGGCTGGGCAGGGCTGTCTGCCTGCACTCCAGCAGGAGTCTGGGAGGAGGGATCCCTCCGGCAGCCCGGGTGTGTGTCTGTCTCCCAATGCTGCTCCACACTTTTCTTGTTCCCTGTGTATTTAAGAGGCAGAAACTGGTGTCGAGGCTCTGCGGAAGCAACTGAATATCCTTGTATGAGCAGTGCAGGTGGCATGTAGTGACACAATTCCCAGAAAACCTCCATCCCTATCAAAATACCTGTGCCCACGCTGCGGAACACTCCTGCTTTGTGCCTGGCTGCTCTGTGTCCCTTGGCTGCCCAGCCAGCTCCGTGTGCCCTGGCATCGCCTCTCGCTCCCTTCCTGCCTTGTGGGCTCCTTAGCCATCCACAATAGGTTTTCTTTGTGGGTCACACTTGTTGGAGAACCTTTTGAAAAAGCATGGGGAGAGGTGATGCTGCGTTGGGGTAAAAGGTGTTGCTTAAAATCCAGTATGAGGATGAGGAGGGTGATGGCAGTGTGATGTGTCGGGTTAGTGGCTTTCAGCAAGGGGAGATAAGGCTCCAGGGGCTGCTGTGGTGTCACAGGAGCTGCTTAGAGCACTCCAGGAGGGCTGTGAGGAAGCAGGAATGCTGGATTTGGCTTCAGAGGGCATCAAAAGGGCAGATGGATGTCTCTGAGTGCTGGAAGGCTCTGGAGGAGAGTGTGTTATCTGGGTGTTCTCTGGCATGGAGATGGGGAGAGGTCCTAGAACAAAAACCAGGGGGAAGCTGTGGAGGAGTGGCTTTATCTCAGAGGAAACAGCAGATTAGGAGAATTTAAAAAAAGAAATAAATCCAAGCTCAGAGGTGCACAGTGGCGCCCAAAGGAAAGCGGGAAGGAGAAAGAGTCAAAGTGCTGGGATTTTCCCAGGCAGGTGTGCTTTCCCAGGCCTAGGCACACAGGGAATTCACACACCGGAGAGAGGTGAGCACCTCAAACCCCCATCCCTGGTTTAGCAGAGCCGGGCCTGGAAGCCTTAGGCTGGCACTAAGTCCCAGTGTGAGCCTGGCTCAGGAGAAGCCAGGGGACACTGTTCACACGGTGGCTGGGACACAGCGAGGGCTCGCTGACCTGCTGTGAGCTGGTGCCAGCACAGCCTCGGTGCCCACAGCAGCACATTGTCCCCAGGAATAAATGGCAACGTCCTGAAACACAAGCGTAAAAGGACTCTCTGTCCCTGTCCATTACCGCTTTCCAGCAGGCGCCGCTCGGATGGACATAATGGAATTATGGGGAGAAAAGAGTCTGGGAGGCAGTTTCTTATATCTCAGTGGCAAAGGTCAAGGCAATGGCTGCTGCAGAGTCATGATTCCAGCTCAGGGGTACGGCTGCTGTGGCCTGTGTGAGCCCTGCCACTTCAGAAACCCTTGGCAATCCCCGGAGTTCCGAAGGATGCAGCACGGGGAGATGGCTTGGGAATGGTGTCGTGGACATGGGGTGTTCTGTGTGCCCTGTCACCGTGGCTGTGGAGGCCACGGCCAGCAGGGTGGATTGCAGCATCCTGAGCCCCGGAATGGGCTTTCCCACGACGCCCTTGTTTTGCAGGAAGTGGCAGAGTCAGGGCCCCCCTCCCGGCTCCCTCTGGAGTGGGAGAGGGGGAGAGCCTCGGGCAGGGTTTGAGGAAAGCACCGCTGCTCTCCCAGCGCTGACTGCGAGGTGCAGCCGAGGAGGGGTTGTTATAAATGAAGCATAAGGAAAAAAGAGGGTTAAATAGCTCTTAAATGTCTGCAGGGAATGTCGGGAGTGATGGATGTGGATGCATTCTTTTGTGCTCTAGGCAGGAAGTGTAAGCAAAATGTGGAAGAGCCCTGATGGTCTGCATGGGGCTGCCCCTCCAGGTTTCTATTCCCTGATGGGATGCTCTAAAATGGGTTGGGATTTGTCCAAAAGATCAGAAATTGGCTAAATCAGCAATGATGCTGCTTCTCCTGGCTCTGCTGGATTTCTCTGGGTATTCCCCACATTCCTTGGGCTGCATCTGGCAAGAAACATCCCTGTTCCTGGGACAGGTGTAAGGGGGCAGCAAGAAGGGCCAAAAAAACAAAAAGAGAAAACGGTGGCAGGGGGTTGGAACAAGATGCTCTTTGAGGTTCCTTCCAACCCAAACTGTTCTGGGATCCTGTGAAAATATCATCCATGTCCTGGGTGTCGTTTTTCCAACCCCACATGGACTTTTGTGCTCCTGGTGGGTTGGGCCCTTGTGTAATGAGGGCCACTGCAGGAACCAGCTCCTGAGGATGTGTCAAGGTCAGCAATTAGCAGGGTTAATGAGCAGGTTGTCTGGGTGGAAGCATGAGGAAGAAGGTAGAGCCTTGTAATCTAACAGAGAGGAGACTCTGGGATCCTTGGATAGTTAGAGAATGGGTGTATTTATTTATTTTTTTAAAAATTTCCAAACAGTTAGTTCTGTTTTTTTATGACCAGTGCTGGGGTTGCACCCTGGTTTTGGGAGGCAGCTCCGAGGGGATGTGTTGCTCCATGGAGGTGTGTTGGGAGCCATGCACTGTTCTCCAGTGACTCCTCAGGAGCGAGGAAGCCCTGGAGCTCATCCCATGTCACTGTGTCGGGGTCTGACCTGTTCCCTGAACTGCAGACTCATCTCTTGTGATCCCGTGACAAAGGTGTTGCTGCTGGAGCGTGAGCAGGAAGGTGATGTCATGGGAGGGGAAAAATCCAAAGGTTGTGGAGGGCAGAGGAGCGTGGGCGCTGCTGTGGGCAGCAGAGGGTGTCGGGCTTCCTTGCCAGTCAGCCAGTGGGGCTGGCATTTCTCTGGGAGCAGCGGGATATGGGGCATGATCTAGGGCTGACCCCCTTGGGTGGGTCTGTCTCCCATGGAAGGGAAGGTGCTCCCTGCTGCTGCTCCACCTGGGTGCCTGTGCCAAAGCCTTCCGGGCACATCCAGGCGTGGTGGCATGTGGTGCTGAGAACAGGCTTATCCCGAGCCCTCCCATGCCCAATTAACACTTGGAAATGTCCCAAGAAAAGTCAGGAAGCATCCCTGGGCTCTGGCAGCCTGCAGAATTTGGGGAGAGGTGCGGGAAGCCCAGAGGAGCTGTGGATGCCCCTCTGGCTTTGAAGGTGCGCCGGTGGAGTTTAATAATGTGGAATCCTGGTGTAAATCATTGCCAGGGCAGGGCACAGGAGTGTGGGGGACGAGATGGAGGGGGTCTGGCTGCAGGGAGGATCCCATGCTGTGGGCAGAGGGAAAGGGAATGGGGCTGGAGAGGGCTGGAGCATTCAGGCACTGCTTGCCCACCTGCTGGGGACAAACTTTTCAGCAGGGCCTGTTGTGAAAGGACAAGGGGAGATGGTTTTAAAGTAAAAGAGGGTTGATTTAGATTGGATATGACGAAGAAATTCTTCCCTGTGAGGGTGGGGAGGCCCTGGCACAGGTTGCCCAGAGAAGCTGTGGCTGCCCCATCCCTAGAAGTGTCCAAGACCAGGTTGGATGGGGCTTGGAGCAACCTGGGATAGTGGAAGGTGTCCCTGCCCATGGCAGGGGGTGGAACTGGATGAGCTTTAAAGTTCCTTCCCACCCAAACTATTCTGTGACTGAGGGATGAGCATCCAGACAGTTCTGGGGATGCTGGACCCGAGACAGAGGCAGCAGTAGCTCCCTTCTCCAGCTGTGATGTCAGGGCACCAGGATAGCTGTTGGATCAGAGATAGAAGCAGCTCTGGAAAGCCAGGAGAGCAGCTAATTCAATGGAGATACAGACTGGAATAGCAAGTCTTCTGTTTTAATCTGATTGCTGGGCTGCAGGGTAGCACTGTGAGGCATCTGTGGAAAACTTCCAGGCACAGAGGTGACGTAGGAGCTGAAATCCTGCCACTTCCAGGACTGAGGTGCCTGAGGGAAGCCGCAGAGATTGTGAACAGGCACAGAGGTTTAGACACCATGGGTAAATGGGAGCAGCCCTGTGTGTGTTCTCTGCCCACCATGGGTGCAGCACAATTTTCCTGCCCCAAGGCCATCACAGCAGTTCTCAAGTGAACTCCTGGCTGGCCAATGTGTTTGTGATGAGGATGGGAGCTCGTTTGGATCAACAGGTAAGGAGAAAAACCCACAGGGCACAAATGGAGAATGAAACCTTTGTGTGGGAGGGCAGAGGCCAGTGCTGGGACCACCAGTCACAGTGTAAGGGCTTGGGTGGGAGGATGGCTCTTGGAATGCTGGTGAGGACATTTCAGATGCAGAGTTTTCCACATCTTCAGCAGCTGTTCACTGGGGTGGAATTAAAGCTGGGATCAGGGGATGCCCTCCCCAAGGAGCACACAGGGCAGCAACCTGGTGCTGGGGCTGGGCACAGTGCTGAGCTGTGCCATGGGGAACAACAGGCTTGCCCCATCCTGCCTCCCAGCAACTCCCTTTGGGCAGAGCTCAGCAGCTCGTGTGTGTCCCATAACCCAGGACAAACCACAGGAGCCAAGACTCTGCCCTGCCTGGACCCACACGGGTCTGGGGATGTGTCCAAAGGGGCTGGGACACCCCTGTGGGAGTATCCCCAGCCATGCTGGGCACCAGCAGTGAGCAGGGAAGTTTCTCTGCAGATTCCTCCTCTCCAGGCTTGTGTGCATGTCTTTTCCTGCTGGAGCTGGTCTGTTTTCTAGGAGTGCTGCTCTATTCTGGCCCTTGACCCTGCAAACTGGGCGTGCACTCAAGCTAAACAAGCAAACATGCAGCTTTTGAGCCAGAGGGTTGAGCTGGAGGGCGTGTGGGTGACGTGGATACAGCACCTACAGCAGCACAGCCCAGGGCGACCTCGAGCCCAAACCAGCATCCAGAAGCCAGGGAGGGAAGGAGGGATCCCTGGCATGGTCTTGGCACATCCATAAAGCTGCGAGGCTTTATGTGGATGTTCTGCTGTGAGGAATCCAAGTTGTCCCCGTGGGTCACAGCACCCGAGGTCAGGGAAGTGAGCGGGCAGGAGATGTGGCTCCATGAGTTTATATTTAGAAAACAAGCACGTCTGGTCCTGGCAACTCAGAAAACATTCAGTGGAGGCAGTGGAGGGGGAGTTCCCACCCGTGGCTGGCTGGTCGGGAATGCCAGTGCTCGGACATTCCCATGGGATGCAGCCAGGGCACTCACCACCCGTGTGTGTGTGTGTGTGTGTGTGTGTGTTGCTGCAGGGAGGGTGAGCACCGGCCTGAAGTGAGCTCAGGGCCCTACAAGGGTTCACCATCCCGGCAGCTGTTGCTGGCAGCAGCTGGGGGAAGCCACAGGGTCGGGTTGGCTGGGAGAGAGGCAGTTCTGGATTGTGTTCTGCGGGCAGGAAGGCATCGCAGGGCAGGCAGCCAGCGCCGTGAGCAGCCCTGCTCCATCCCAGTTGTAGGGAAAGGGAGAAGCTGTTCAGCTAGAGATGCATTTCTGAGCGTTTCCAGGTTGGTTTGCATTGACAAGGGCTGTTGAAGTTGATTTGGGTGGCCTTTTTTGGTGCTGTGAAGTCAGTTATCACACTCCTAAGGACGGGCAATCTAAGCCCTTAGCAAGCATCAGTAATTTGATTGTTTCCAAAGGTTGGTGATTATCACGGCTGAGAAAGTAGCAAAGGGCGGGGATGGGAATGGCCAACAAGGATCCAGCTACCTTGTTATATCCCAAGGTGCTCTCCACAGGCAGGGCAGGGTGAGATTTCCAGTGTTACACAAATGAAACGATATCATCGTGGCTACTATGACTGCAAAGACTTCGCATTTTACCGTGGACTAACCATCACTTTCCTTCTCTTCCCAGAGCTCACATCCTGCCCGGGGGAGGGCATGTTAGCAGGGCTGCAGCCCCCCTGCCCCGAGCCATGCTGTGAGGAGGGGGCAGCCCGGCCATCCAGCAGCGGGAATGATGGCCCAGTCCCGGGCCAACGGCTCACACTACGCCCTGACAGCCATCGGGCTGGGGATGCTGGTCCTCGGCATCATCATGGCCGTCTGGAACCTCGTCCCGGGCTTCGGCCCCCCCGAGAAACCCACCACCCACGCCGGGAACAGCAGCAAACCCGACCGTGGCTCCGGGGGCATCTTGAAGAGCAAGACCTTCTCGGTGGCCTATGTGTTGGTGGGAGCAGGGCTGCTCCTGCTCCTGGTCTCCCTCTGCCTCAACGTCCGGGACAAGAAGAGGCAGAGCGAGGAAATGGCCATCGCCCACGTGCAGCGCCACGTGTCTGTGGAGCCCTCGCAGCAGGAGGACAGGTGAGGTGTTCCGGGGAGAAAGGGAGCAGGAATGAGGGTAGGAGTGACACCAGGGGCTGTTGTTGCAGCTCAGTGAGGTCTGGATCAAGGAGAGGAAGGCTGGTGGCAGCGTGTGCTGAAATAAGCAAGCACGTGTCGTGGTTTGGGGTTCTGATGTGTCCTGGAGATGGGAAAGGAGTGACTCCAGCTGTATTTATGGAGCTGTGTAGGTGGAAGGGAGCCTTGTTGGTGTGTAAAATGGGGTCTAGACAGAGCTGTGGCCAAGCCAGTGTTGCTGAGATGTGCCACTCCTGGCTGGATTGGCACATGGGAGTGTGCTGAGAGGGAACACGGGGGGTGGGTGATGGATAACACAGAGAGCAGGCTCCTGCCACACGCTGGGAGAGGAGCCAGAGGTGCAGCAGAGGTGCTGTCTCACTGGGTGCAGCCGACGTGCCCAGCAGCCTTGGAGGCTGGCCATGGAGTTTAGACCTGGTGAAAGTCTGCAGGGCTCTGCTGTTTGCTCAGGGATCTGCATGGAGCAGAGCAAAGGCTGCTGCTGCAGGGACAGGCTGGACAAACACTGGTGCAGTTCCCTGTGCAGAGGGAGGCAGGGAGGTGTTGGGACAATATGGGATACAAGGGGGCAGGAGAGGATGATGGCTCTGCTGGCTGTTGTCAGGGTCTGCAGATCCACCCAGAAAACCAATTTTCCCTATTAGATTGAAAAGATAACTTCACAATGCCAAAGAAATGGCAAATGTTGATGTGCAAACCTGTGCATAGACAGTGACTTAGTGCAGGGCTAAATCTCTTTGCAGAATCTCTTTACCTCAAGGTACCCAACCCAAAAGACATCAGAACAACAAAGGAAGATAGGTGATGTCCCTTTCAAATGTATTTTGACTGATTTTTGAGAGAGGAGGAGAGAAATTGGTATTCTTTTGAAGGAATAATTCACTGCTAGGCAATAGAAAAGGGGTTTGTGGGCAGAGATGATCAAAGATGAGCATATGACATAAGGAAACAAAATGTGTCTGAACATAAGTGGGGTCATGATTTGTTCTGTCAAGCAAAAAGGGGCTGGTATATAATGCAGAAGGGCAAATAATTAGTTAAGCCTTTGAAGGTGGGGTGGTTTTATTCTTTCCTCTCCATCCCCTACCCACAGCAAAACTGAAATGATGTTGTGCCCACAGCCTTAACTCTCTCCCCTCTAGTCAAGAAGAGGATGAAGACGTGTCTTCCCAGTACTACGTCCCCAGCTACGAGGAGGTGATGAACACGGGCTACTCAGAGCCCAGGGACTCGGACAGGAGCAACAGGCTGAGCGTCTCCCTGCCCTCCTACGAGTCTCTGACGGGGCTGGATGAGAGCAGCCAGGCTCCAGGAGCTCCAGGAGCTGCAGGCACGGAGCCAGGCACGGAGAGACAGCCCAGCCGGCACAGCTCCCGCCTCAGCAAGCGCCTGAAGCCGCTGAAGGTCCGGAGGATCAAGTCAGAGAAGCTGCACCTGAAGGACATCAGGCTAAACCTGGGCCAGGGGAACAGCACTGTCCCTGTCACGATAGAGCCCCTCACCCCTCCGCCCAAGTACGAGGAGATCCAGGAGAAAGCGCCGGTGAGCCAGCAAATGCCTTAGAAGAAAAAAAAAAAAGGAGGGATCTGTGATGCTGCTGGGTTGAGGGTTTTTATAAACCCACCAGGCCAAGAGGGGCTTGGTCTGTGGGTGCAGAAGCAGCCAGGGCTCCCTGGAAGCTGCCATGTGGAGGACGTGATGGGTGTGGTAGCACTGCAGCACAAGGATGGGACACTTTTTCCCTGGGACTGGGTTTTACAAAAGACTGTGGGGAAAGAAGCCTGAATGCCACAGGTTCTGCTGCTCTGAAGTAAATGAAGGCTGGATGTACCAAAAGTGTCACTTATTGTGTTTGATATAAGACCACCCAATGCATCCTCTCACCTCCTCTGCCTCTCACCTCCAGCAAGACTTTTCCAAGCCACCAAACTGATACTGAAGAAGGATTTTTCCAAGTGGAAAAGTGAAATGTTCCTTTTTTTTTTGGGGTGTCTTTTCTTTCTGAGGAAGGGAAAGTGTGTTGCCAGAGCAGCACCACGGCTTTCCCCCCCTCCCAGCTGGGTTGGGCTGGTGGCCCAGGGCCAACCCTGACTCCTGCCAAAGTCTCTGCTGGCTGGTGGGAAGCAGCTGAAAGGGGGCCCCGTGCTCCTAGGGTAGAGGATGGATTTCCTGCCTCAGTTGCTTTCCCTGTTGTGTTTTGTGCTCCGTTCGAGGCGAGTGGGGAACTGGGGGGGGTTTGGGAGCTGCACCAGTGCCAGGGGTGCAGGGTGAAACCACTGCTGAGCATCCTGTGCGGGCAGACTGGGGCTGAATAAATGTTTTGTACGTTGTGTTTGTGTGTGTGTGTGTGTGTGCACTCGGGGGTGGTTGGTCCTTCCCAAGGTTTATAATCCGTCGGCTGTTGTAAGGGAGATGCTCCATGGGCATCCCAGCTCCATAGGCATCCCAGCTCCATGGGCATCCCAGCTCCATAGGCATCCCAGCTCCATGGGCATCCCAGCTCCATGGGTATCCCACCTCCACGCTGCCCCCCGGGCAAAACCACTGGCCACAAAGTCATCGACACATCCATCCACAGGCTCCCTTGGATGGTCTGAGAGGGATGTGGAGGTGGCTTTGTTGATGTGATGCTGATATTGATGTTATCATAGAACAATAGAACCATTTAGGTTGGAAAAGATCTCCCAAGAACATCAACTGTTAACCCAGCATGGCCAAGTCCACCACTAAATCATGTCCATGTTATGGAGTGGTCAGCAGAGGTTGACTTGATGCTGTGGTTGGTATGAGAGGAGTCCAAGTGACCAAAATGAAGGCAAAGATATGCTGGTCCAAATCCATTCGACAGGTTTCCCTTGTTAATGGTTATTTCCCATTGCATCTCTCAGTTTCTGTTGTTGCATCACAGGAGTTTCACTTTGCTGGGCCCCAAGGCACCTTCTCAGATGGGCAAAATAACCTCATTAACTAAGGGACTCTCTTACTGAAGAGAAGGAAATAAAGCAGAATATACCCCAGATAGAGGGATGTGGGGTGGGGGGTCCTGTGTGGGTGTTGTTGAGGAGATGTAAAGGTGGTGCAGCTCCTTGGAGGTTGTGTCCCAGGCATGTGTGCCCCTGAGAGCCCACTGGCAATGAAGTCCTCTCTCCTCAGTGAAGAAATACAGCCCTAACAGTTGTCCTAGAAAATCTGGGTGAATAAAGTGAAGTTTCTTGTCTGAACAGTTTGAAGGTGAAGTTTTATTGAGCTTCTTTGCCAGAAAATCCCATTTGATGAAATAGACTGGCAAAAACATCATCTTTCCCAGTGTCCCATGTAGGAAAGGAGCTGAAAGATTGCCATGAAGTGCAGTGACTGCAGTGACATGAGCTGTGACTCAAGCAATAGTTATACCAAAAATGCCCAAATGGCTAATGAGCATCTCTGGCTACTTTCCTGCTTGTCCTTTGATGGTATTTGGGAAGCAAAGGGAGATGTGGGATGCTGAGAAGTGCAGGAGCCATGACCATCATTATCCTAGGATGGCTTATCCCTGTGGCACTGTAAGGGAATGGTTATTCCTGAAGGTGAGGGTGATGGAGGAGAGGGTGGAGAGAGCACAGCTGTCTCTTCCACACACACCTAACAGCAAATTCATCTTACCCCAACCTCAGGCTGGTTGTCCAAGGTGGACCACACTAGTAGGTGAGAAATCAGGATGTGTTTAACATTGCACTTGTGTCTCAGCATCTCCAGAAGGTAACTCACATTCCAGGACAACTTGTGAGTTCAGCCTGGAGAAGAGAAGGCTCCAGGGAGACCTTAGAGCACCTTGCAGTACCTAATGGGAGCTCCAAGAGAGCTGCAGAGGGACTTTGGACAAGGGCCTGGAGTGACAGGACGAAAGGGAATGGCTTCAAACTGACAGAGGTTTGCAGAGCTCTTCTTTGCAAAATCTTCCACTTCTTCCTCAAAATTAACGAGATGATTAATTAATTAAATTATTTTTTTAAATTATTATTAATATGATAGAATCTTGCAGGACTGGAGAGGCCAAACTGGGGGGTGTTAGTGGCAAAGGTGTGGGGGGGTTTCCCCTTTGTCTGCTGAAAAAGAGTTCCTGACAGCCTGGGACCAAGGAATATGGATGGAGAAGCACTGATGGGTGCACTGATGCATCCCCATCACCTGGCAGCAACATTTATCCCCTTGCCTGTGGTTGCAAAACGTGTTTGTGTGTGTGTGTGTGTGTGTGTGCATGATATTAAATACAAAAAATGAGTCAAATGGGGACTCAAAGGTTCTTTGGCAGCCCTGGCAGTGAGGTTTGTGATGCACATTCCCACGTGTGTCACCAGCTGGCACCGAGAGCTGCGGCCGCGCCGGCGCGGAGCTCTGTTGTGCTGCCAGGCCAGTTGCTTGGAAAAAGGAGAAGGAGGAAAAAAAAAAAAAACTAAACAAAACAAAGGGGAAAAACTCACCCAGACAGGCAGCAGCGTGGCTGAGGTTTCCAAGGCTACTGCCAGGCTGCAGCGGCACTGCTGGCTGGGACAGAGCCGCTTTTGGGGTCATTTCTCACGGTTTTTGGTGTTTGAGTTGTTTGGGCCACTCGTGGCTCAGGTTGTGTGTTGGGTGGGGGGGTTGCTGAGTGAGGAGTTGGGATTTTTGGGGGAAGCCTTGCAGGTTCGGGGGCTGGGCAATGAGAGCCTTTCTAAAGAGCTCGGAGGGGTGTTTCCAGCTGAAACCCCACACCACGACCATCGGGAGCCACAGAGGGGCCGACATCGTCCTGCAGGTAGGGGCGGGGCAGCTGATCATCCTAAAACAGAGGGTGCTTTGCATGCAGGGAGGAGGACGTGCTGGAGCCCTCCATGCAAATTGTGGTGGGATTTATGACCAGAAAGGGGGGGCTTGGCAAAGCAGGGACAAACCTGGAGCCGCCTCCAGCAGCGTTCCCTGCCCGCCCACTGCCCGCTCCCAGTCCGCAGGTGTCGCAGATCGTCACGCAGCCCTGGAATTCTCCCCCTCGGACAACAGCTTCATCCTTCAGGACTTCAACTCCCCCCACGGCACCTTTGTCAACAGCTGCCAGGTCCAGAATGCGGCCGTGGGGGTGAGGCCAGGGGACATCCTGCGCTTCGGCACCGCGGGAGTGGCCTTCGAGCTGGTGGTGGATGGGGCTGCCCAGGTGAGGCTGGGAGGGGCTGCCCTGGGAAGGGTGCCCAGGAAAGGATGGGGTTCTCCTGCCCTGGGAAGGATGGGGTGCTTGCTGATCCCAGGGAAGGGTGCCCTGGGAAGGATGGGGTGCTTGCTGATCCCAGGGAAGGGTGCCCAGGGAGGGATGGGGTGCTTGCTGATCCCAGGGAAGGGTGTCCAGGGAGGGATGGGGTGCTTGCTGATCCCAGGGAAGGGTGCCCAGGGAAGTGTGGGTGGGTTCTACTGCCCAAGGAAAGGTGCCCAGGAAAGGATGGGGTTCTCCTGCCCTGGGAAGGATGGGGTGCTTGCTGATCCCAGGGAAGAGTGCCCATGGAAAGGTGCCCAGGGAAGAACGGGTGGATCTGCCCAGGGAAGGGTATCTTGAGGAAGGATGGTGTGCTCATCCCTGGGAAAAGTACCCAGGGAAAGGCGTGTGGGTTTTACTGCCCAAGGAAAGGTGCCCAGGGAAGGGTGGATGCTGTTGTCCCTGGAAGGATACCCAGGGAAGCGTGGATGGGAACGTCTAGGGAAAGTTGCCAAGGAAAGGTGGGTGGGTGCTGCTGCCCAGGGAAGGCTCCGGGAGCAGGAACAGGTTCCCAGGTCTGGGCAATCCTGAGGAAAGGCGAGGGGGGGAAATGAAAAGCTGGAGCTCCCTCTGCTGAAGAAACTCTGGCGGTTCGGCAGGGAAACGGAAAATGACGGGACAACGGTGCGTGAGAGAAGGTAGATCTGGGAAATGTGCTTTTCCTCTATTTGCGTTTTATGTTTCTTCCCAAGCCACTTAGTGGGAGGGAAGTTGGGTTTTACATCAAACCTAAAACAACTGATAAGTTCCAGTATCATTTTTATTACTGTGGCTCTTGAAGAATCCAAGATGCTGGTGAGGTAATGCCAGACCCTGCTGGAGCAGTGAGCAGCTGAATTCCCAAAGGCAGGGTGCACACAGAGAAGCAGGTTTGCACAGCAGTGCAGAGGATGCCTGTGGGGTGCCTGTTCCTTACTCTGGGCTCTCTGATCCTCCTGTGGAGGAGCAGCTTTGAAGCCTGACCCTGCTGACTGCAGGGAAGGAACCACCTCGGAGTTGCACCCTGTGAGGTGTCTAACAGAGGGAGAGATCACTCCTCTCGAGTCTTAGAGGAACATGTTGTACAGAGGAGCAGCACCCGGCTGGGAATCGCATCCCGCCGTGCCTCCAAGCGCAGGATAAGGGCCAAGACAGGGACAGTGGAAGGCTTTGGTGGAATCCTGCTGTGAGCAAGAGCCATGGGGAGCAGCATGAGCAAAAGCAACAGGGCTTGGACGTGCTCCAGGAGAAGGGAAGGTGCTGGAGTGGCAGGGAGCATTCCCTGGGGGTTTGGGCTCTGTTAACACCCAGATGTTGGAGGGCCCACATCCAGGCCAGGTCCGACGCTGTGCTGGCAGATGTTTAGTGCAGACCTTGACAGTGGCTTGTCCTCATTGTACTGGAAAGCTCAGGAGAACAGCAGTGTCCTAAATCTGGGTCTGACATGCCCAGCATAAGGTCTGGTAAATGTGATGGGAAGGCAGGAGCACAACGAGAGGGGTGAATGGCAGAAATGATGAAGTAGGACCATGTGTGAGCCAGGAGAGCTGTGAGAAGAGCATCTCTAGATCGTGCAAATGATGTGCAGAATTAGGGCAGAGATGGAGAGGGAAAAGCTCAAAAAGCAGCAAACCTCAGTGATTTCCTTCTGCTTCAGCAAAGAGCCTGAATGCCCTGATTAAAATCTGATCCTTGGGCAATGGAAATGGGGAAGGACTAAAGGACTAAAACCATGCTTCCACTGAGATCTGTGCCTGGGGTTTTTATGGCATGGTGCACATGAATCCAGGGCTAAAATCCTTGCTGATAACACGGTCTTTTCCCATCGTAGGTGTCCTGTCCCCCCTTGAAACGTCGCACGGGGTGGGCGGGGCAGCTCCAGGTGGTTGCAGAGCCCAAACCCTCGGCTCCCGTGTCTCCTCCCCGCCTGCCCTCGCTGCAGTGGCAGCATCCCCCTGGCTCTCCAGGCAGTGGCACTCCTGGAGCCCTCGGCCATCAGCCCCATCCTCCTCTGCCGAGGAGACCCCTGAGTGCCTGGGACAGGAGCGTGGCCAGCACTGCCTCTCTGGACACCTTCAGCAGGAGCTCTGCGCTGAGGCCAGGTAATCCATGAGCCCAAACCCGAACATTTGTGTCCTGATGTCCTCACAGAGCAACTTGGTGCTGAGTGGGGTTAATTGGAGTGGGGAAGTGCTGAGTGTTGAGCAACCAGCTGTGAGGCCATGTCCAGTGGAGCTAATCAGAGACTGTGTGTGGTCCTGGGTGGCATTTGGGTCAGGGAAGAAATGAGCTGTGACACCCCAAAGGGAGTGCTGTTGCCTCTGCAGAGGGATGTTTCCTCTTCCTTTTTCCTGGTATGTGACCCAGAAGGGCGATGACTGATTTTATCTGCACCAGTGACTCATGTACCTATTCCTGACTCCTGTTTGAAGTGGTGTTTTTTTCCTCCTTTGAAGTGGCTGCCTCAAGTGCAGGAACTTTAAAGTCTATCCGTAGCTGATACACCTCTGGAAATAAAGTATGTGATAAGCAACAAAGCAAAGGTGAGGGTTTGGGGGAATAGAATAGCTGGAGAACATGACTTTTGCCGTTAATGCTGTGGCCTGATGCACCATGCTGTGGTTTTCCTGTTTGGGGTTGGGTTTTTTGAAGTCATAAGCAACACAAAGTCAATAGCAGGGTTTAAATGTGCAAAGCCAGGGGCAGCACCTTGCAGTCCCAGCAGTGGCTGAACTGGAAACCACAGTGAGGGCAAAGGGAGGGACACATATGCCCCAGGTTGGCACATACCCCTCTGATTTTTGGGTAACAGAGCCAAAAGGATCCCCTTTTGTGCAAAAATGCACAGCTTTTTGTAGGGCTGAGCAGTGCTGGAAAATTAGAGGAGCTTTTCTCTGCTGTGTCTCTGCTGCCCTGAGGCTTTTCTGGTTCCCATAGGTGAATTATTCCTCTCTGTTGTGCAGACTGTGCTGTAAAGTGTCATTTTAGTGCCAAAAAGGTGGTTTCCCTGCTGTTTGTGAACCAAGCTCATGCTCTGAACAGCAGCCACTGCCTTGGAGTAGTTTTGGGACAAAGAATGCTGCAGGGAGTGTTTCTGCTGCCTGCAACCACCTCTCATGCTGATATTTACTGCTGCTGTTTTTGCTTTCTTCCAGTCTCAACCAGCTTCTCAGGTGATTGTGCAAGCAGTGTGGGGGGAGCCCCTTCCCTGGGGACTCACAACACGGATCTCCTCCAGCAGGAGAAGGTGATGCTGGGGAGAGAGTGAGGAATGCCATCCCTGTCCTGGTCCTTGGCAGAGCAGGAGAACCCTGCCAGCTGGCTGTGTGTGTCCCACCAGGAGTCCCAGCAGGGTGTGGGGACTGCCTCCCCAGGGGTCTGCTCCAGAGGATGGGGACAATGGGTGGCTGGAGGGTGTGGGAAGCCGGGTGAGCATGGCACTGATGGCCATGAGCGGGTACCCCTGGGCAGGAGTAGCTGCAGACTGGCCAATGGCACCTGCAATCTGCCCTCAGGGTGAGAAGCTGCTGCAGCTGGAGAAGGAAATGGGTCACCTCTCTGGTTTGGAGGCAGAGTCAAAGCGCAAAGACGTGGTGATAAGAGATCTGCAGGAGGAGGTCGCGGCCATGGCAAAGAAACTGGCCCAGGCGGCGGCGAGGAACGAGGTTGAACTGACCCAGAAACTGCTGGCCTTCAATCAAGAGCTGGGAGCCAAAACAGAGGAGATCAAAGCCCTGAGGGAACAGGTACCAGATGCTTCCATAGGCACCGAGCAGGGAAAACACCTCTCTGATACAAGTTTGTAATGTAACAAAGGTTTGGGGAAAAGCAGGTCCCATGTCTGAAACCAAGGGAAATGAGGGAGGTGGGGTTTTTTCCTTCTCTCCCTCCTTTATTTCTTTCTTCCTTTTTTCCTTCCTTCCTCCTCCATGCCTCTGGCATTAGGATTTCATCAGGAACAGCCAAAGCACATTTAAGGTGATTCTATTTGAAGCAATGACTCCTGAGAGTTAGTCAAAGATGCTTGAGAACAATCCCATCAAACCAGGACCTGGATGTGCCAGATTTCCCTCTCTGGAGGGGAATCAGTGAGTGATTGGGTGAGGAACACAGTGAATCTGTGTTTTGCAGATCAATGACCTGCAGAAAGGCTCAAGCCAGGTTTTCAGCCATTCCCTCTATGAAAGAGACCTGGAGATCGGGAGGCTCCGGAGAGAAAGTGAGAAGCTGAAGAAGGACCAGGCTTTGAGTGCAGGTACTGTGTCCCTGGAGCTCTGGGTCAGGGCATGAAGCAGTTTAGGACTGGCTCTGGAGAAAAGCAAGCATTGGCCAAGCTGTCCAGGCAACAACTGATTTGTAGTGGCTTGTAGAAATCAGAGAATCATGGAATAGGTCGGGTTGGAAGGGACCTTAAAGAACATCTTGTTCCAACACCCTGGCATAGAGAGGGACACCTTCCACTAGCCCAGGTTGCTCCAAGCACCATCAGCCTGGCCTTGGACACTTCCAGAGATGGGGCAGCCACAGCTTCTCTGGGCAACCTGTGCCAGGGCCTCACCACCCTCACAGGGAAGAATTCCTTCCCAGTATTTCATTTGGGTGTTGCACTTGTGTAACCTCTCACCAGAGTTGTTTTTCCCAGGTCTGGTGAGCAGCCTGCAAAGGGAGGTCCTGCAAAAGGAGCAGAAAATTCAGCAGCTCCAGCAAGAGACTGAAAAACTGAAGAAGGAAAATCGAGAGAAGGACAACCAGCTGGCAGTTGTTTCTGCCAAGGTTGGCAGGACTAACGAGGGCATCAGTAATTTATGGTCTCACACAGGGGTTAAGGTGGGAAAGCAGGTGGAGAAAAGTTGTGCTTCTCCCTTGTGAGGATTGTAGCAGCTGTATGTGGGTGGATGTTTTTTGGGGGGTCCTGAGATGAGTCCTGTCTGCACACAAACAGGAGTCACACAACTGTGCCACTGGGATGTGGTGGTGATGGTCCCATGGTCACACCAGGGTGTCCTGTGATGGCCACAGATCAGGGTCCCCTTCCCCAGCTCCATCTCCCTCCTCACTCAGCATCACTGTGTGCCCTGGATTCCTGTGAGCACAGGAGCTGTTTGTTCACACAGAGCTCTCATGCCAAGATCCTCCCAAGGAGCCATGGAAACCCCCTCACTGGGGGTGGGACTCCCTGTGGCCTGGGCCTGGATTTTCCCTTAAAGAAGGTGGCTTGTGCAGCAGGTTGTCTCTCTATATGTGCAGCTCCTCCTCAGCTGGCAGAGCTGCATCAGCAGTGTGATAAGGGGCAGAGGCTGCACAGGCTCTGTGGGATTGCCAGGGATTGCCTAGGAATCACAGAATTACTGAGCTTGGAAATAACCTCTGGGATCATTGAGTGCAACCATTCCCCTGGCACTGCCAAGGCCACCCCTAACCCACGTCCCCACGTGCCACATCTACACCTCCTGTAAATCCCTCCAGGGATGGCAACTCCACCACTGCCCTGGGCAGCCTGTGCCAGTGTTCCATTCACAGCAGGAGTGATGGTGTCACTGCCCTGATGGATATTTTCCTTGGTTGCCATTCCTTCTAGTGCTCAAGAATTAAAGAGGAAACGAAGCGTGAGCTTGGAGAGCAAGAAATAATCAGCTGTCGAAATGTGAGTTGAAAATGTTTTGGGGTGATGGAGCACAGGGCTAAGCAAGTGGTTGCAGGAATGCATCAGCCAGGGAATAATTAACTGGGCATTGTAAGGGAGTTGTTTGGAATTCAGCTCCTGCACTGGAAGGCACATAATGGGACTAACCACCCGGGGAAGTGTAAACTCTGTTGGATTTGTAATGCTGTGTTACAATGCAGGGGGAATGTGACCAGAAATCAGGTTGGAATTCTGCTGGTAAGCTGATAAAACCACAGTAAATATGGGTTAGAAGGGAATTCCAGGGTAAGCAAAGTGGGTTAGATGGGGAAAACATCTTGCTTATGAGTGGAAGTTTTCCAGAGAGGCAATGCCCAGTTCCTCTGGTGAGACCCCTGCCCTCCCTGGGCTTTTGCAGCGCATTGGGGAGCTGGAACGGGACCTGGAGGGGCTGCAGATGGAAATCCAGAAGCATTGTGCCAAGCAGGAGAGAGTCCAAAGTCAGCTGGCTGAGAAAGCCCAGGTAAGTGGCCAGCTGAGGGGGGCACACAGAGGGCAGGTGTGCCCTGGTGAGCCCATGGCAGGTCTCTCAGCTGCCTGACAGGGGTGAAAGGTGGGTGGGATGAGGACCAGCAAGTCCCAGGAGCAGGCTCCTGGGTCAGGAGTACAGGCAGGGGGTCCTGTACAGGCAGGAGATCCAAATGTCCTGAGCTCTGCCGTGGACACTGGGAGAGGAAGAAATAATTCAGATAGCAGAGTGCCCTGTGTGGGTGTTGGGTGAGGAAGTCAAGGATGGACAATGTCCCAGGGACCAGACCCACGCAAAAAGTGCCGTGAAAGCTCTGATGCTGCAATCCCACCCCTGCAACGGGATTGCTGCCTGTCTCCTGGTGTTCCAAAGCTACCTTTGGAGTTGTCGATGGGAATAGTGGGTAGCTGAGGTCGAAGTGCCCATGGCATGGTTTTCAGATGTCACTCTGAGGTGCCAATCATAGAATCATAGAATCAGCTGGGTTGGAAGGGACCTTCAAGATCATGAAGTCCAACCCTTGATCCA